TTCCCTCCCTGAACAAAGCTGCTCTGAGCAAAGCTTTCATTTAGGGAAGTTTCAGCTGAAACATTTTGATTTGGCCAAAGAAAAGAGAAAGTTTTCAAATACAAGGTGATAAAGTGTGAACGTTAGTCACCATCATGCATATGGAGGATCCTGACTTGTAAAAGTCACTTACATATCCAGTGGGAATACAGGGGGCGGACATGTGAATTGCTTGTCTCAATGAATAAATATCTGAGCTCAATGAGGGGTGACTCATTTCATAGAGTGCAAAAGGAAGAAATTGTGTTCGCCTCCGATTTATCAGGCTGTCAGTAAAGCTGAATCAGCTGCCGGCTCCACCAGATGTCTTATTGTCAGGACGCTCTTCGAGACATATTTAGAGTCAGACTTTCTCTGAAGAACAACGCTGATGTTCCCGCTTCCTCAATGACGACGATCCAACAGCAGCGACAGTTTCTGGGCTCTTCTATTCGCTCAACATACACCTTTAGCTTCTTTTAGCATGATAAACTGAACTGAATAGTTCAGTTCAGTCATGAATAGTTCATGACAAACAGTTAAACCTGCCCTGTGAAAACAGGAGAGGTTTGTAACTCCTGTAAGGTTAAAGTCAACAGCCATGATAACACTGATATGACCTAAGTTAATTACAAATTATGCTAACGCAGGTATGTTAAACACATCGAGTAGCTTAGGAATGACGAAGCTTCTGCTGTTGACATGTTGGCATAGGGGGCCACAAACGAAAATCTGCCCAGGGCCCCAAAAGGCCTGGGCATGTAAAGGCCTAAAACCCGCAGAGCTGTTCTCCTCACTGTTTTCGTGTTTGCGTCAGTCTGAGGAGTCGCTGACTTTAGCGGAGGACTGGAGCTCTGCCCCGCGGTTCTGACTGACTCCCAGTTCGTCTGACGCTAATCCCCGTTTTCGCTCATGTCGTTGCGCTACGGTGACACACCGCGGCCTGCGCGGCTCTCTGGAGTCACGAAACAAACCGGAAAACTCCCAGCACGGAGCTAACTGGGAGCTAACTGCGGAGTTTAGTACCAGCTAGCTGCAACTTTAAATCAGGAAGCTAAACTTTATAGGGCAAGAAGAAAACTACGCTGTGTGTAAAGTTACACAATAAAAGGTGTGTGTTCATTCCTCAAAGTCATATCTTCACCATTTTATTTCTACATTTATTAATGTAAGAGTTCCAAACTAAATATGTAATTCACAAGCTATATATTTAGTTTGTAAACTCAATATTTAATTTGCAGCTAAATTTTCGATTTGAAAACTAAATATTTAGCTGCAAATTAAATGTTTAGTTTGCAAATTTATTTTCAAAATGTCAAATTGTGTAATTTCACAGATAGTAATAACAGAACTAACTTAAAATGTAACTTTACAGTAAGATATAAAAGCGTTTTTTAAGTTAATAATTTTGAGTATAGATTTAAAAAGTCTTAAAACATATTTTTCCTGTTTTAAGTGAAATTATTACTGATTTAAATCTCTATACAATAATTGTTAACTTAAAACAAGCTTATATGTTAACTTTTAAGTTATTTGTGTCTTAATTTGAGTGTCTGAAGATATTTGCTCTAAGCCACACTAAAATTCTCGTTAAGGTTTTCTGTTTCTGTTCTCTATGTGTTTCATTTTAGACTCTCCTGTTAGCGTTTGTCTTTTTAACATCTGCTTTTGCAAAAAAAAAATAAAAATAATTATATTTCATCAAGCTTTTAGAAATCGGATAATTTTGTTAAAAATAATTACTCTTGCGCCTTGAAGTTGTATTTTCTTCCTCTCAGTTCAACCATGTTCAGTTGTGTGTGAGTTTGCTGCCCTCTGCTGGTCACTGAAATTCAAAAAGGTCCAAATAAATCTTCACATCTCTTTAAAAATACAACAGAAAACTCATTGCTGCTGCTTCTACCTGGATGATTAAATTACGTCAAGTCAAGATTCTGACTTAATTTGAGAAAAAATAATGAGCAGCTTTGTTTTTATGACCAAACACCTAAATAAATGCTAACGCTTCTTACTCCTGCCACTTTGACACTTAATCAACATTATTATAACATTAATCACAGAAAACTGAAACAAAAAGACAACAAGCCAAATTTAACTGACATTTAATTTTTATTAATGTTTCTAAAAGTACAGCACAGACAAATTAAATCCACAGTTACAATACCATTACAGCACTTTATTGAAGCATACAGAATGAAAACATCCATGCAGATTAAAGCAGAATACTGGAGCCTAAATTTATCTAGATTACAATGGAACGCCACAGATTACCAGATTAACCTAAAATATTTTAGAGCAAAGCAAAGCGGCAGGACGAGGTGAAATCAGAAACATTCAGCGGCTGCTAAACACCGACTAGAAGCTTCAACTCGACCCAAACGACCAGCAGTGGCAGTAAACATTGATGCTGTACATTTTATCTTCTGTAAGGATTTTCACACCGTGGTGATGAATATTAAAGCAAAGCAACAACCTTAAAGGAAATGTGCAACTTAGAGCAACTGAGCGCTGAGACAATCAAACTGCTGCTGAGCCCGTAAACGAGACGTTTACAACTCTTTAGTCTGAATAAAACACATTTATTATTTCAGATTAATAACTGTCAAATCTGAAGGGTCACAAAAATATCAGGATGAGAAATTAAACTAAGAAACTAAAAGGTTTAACAATCTTTGGTTGTTTCTGACAGTAATGAAAGTATAAAGATTTATAAGTCTAATTTAGTTTAGTTTTCTTTTTTTAATGATTTCTGGAGAATTAAACAGATTCAGCTTGGAGAAGCTTGGCGAGCCAAGCTAACATTTCCATCTGCTGCAGGTAAGATATTGACTGCAAACAGCTCCACATGACCACACGCCAGTTAGTCCAAACTATCACTTTGAAACATGATTAAACTTTAACTCTGAAATCCTGATTTATCTTATTTACATGGTAACAGTTAAAACTACATTCCTCCAGAAGAAATAAAGTTAAAAAGTGACCCAGTTAAACTTATCATTACATTTTATTAAGTTTTTATTTTTTGCTCATAATAGACGTTTGTATCTCTGTGTTAAATACTCGAAAAGTACTTTTAATATCTTCACATCCATCTGATTAAATGTTTAGTATTTGCATAAAGCATTAAGGAATATTGTAGATTCGACACTTTGATTAGTTTAAGTTCTAACAAATTCTAATTTGATAACTTAAACACGTTTTTAAAATATCTTATCTGAAGATATGCACACCGGAGAGACAATGACTGGATCAGGTTTGTTTAACCTTTGACCTCTTGGTGTGTGTGTGCAGCAGCCTGACCTTCAGCTCCAAATCACAAAGTGAAACAAGCAGGCACGCGCGGCGCGTTTACAGAAACCAAAGGAAATTATTGCTTTGGCTGAAACAACTATAGAAACATTCAGGAAATGAAACAGATTCAAACATTCAAAACAGAAGAAAATGTGCAAAAACTCTGAAATGTGAAATATTTATAAGTAATTCAACTTTCATATTGAAATATTTAAACACCATTTAGCATTTTTGTTTTGTTTTGTTTTGTGTTTAATACTGAGCTACAAACTAACTGCTGCTGAGTGTTTTTGGCAAGAAGACGTCTCTCGTGTTCAAGTGTCCAGAAAATGTAAATTACAATCTATGGCAGTTTCAATAATACAGATACAAGGTGAAGCAGCTCATTAAGTTCATAAAACCACCAGGAGCTTTCGCTCTAAATACGTCAGAAACATCTGAACACAAAACATGTCGCTAACGGCAACATCCCAACAGATGAAATGATGAAAATGTTCATGTCTGAGGTGAAACGGCTGCGATACAATCGACACAATTCCTTAAAGCAACGATGAAACGGAGAGAAGCAGCTACAATCGCCAAGGTCATCCTGATGCTGGTGGTCTGAGCTGCAGCCGGAGGCAGTGAATGAGACGGCAAGGTCAAACTGATTCAAGGTCAAACTGGTCCAAGGTCAAAGAGACTGAAAGGTCAAACTGATTCAGGGAAATAACCAGATTATAGCATCTGCACCTGGCTTTAGCACGAGGATAACTCCGCCATAGCAGATACTTTCCACACTTTCTGCTGCGTTTGAACTTCTCGTCCACATGCTAACTGCTAACTTAGCGCTTTTTGTTGCTAAACTTATTTCTGTTGAAATGGACCGCAGAGATCTGGGCTAAGATCTGGATTTATTTGGTTAAAAAAGTTCTTTAATGTGTTTAAAGTCCAGTTCTGTTGGTGAGGTGTGAATGCTAAGCTAACTCTGGTCCTCCATACCTTGGTGTGGGTTCGGTTTGAATACTTATGAGAACACCAAGCGGACCAGAGACCGCTCCAAAAGCAGGAAGTGGACTACAGCGCAGGGCATTCTGGGTAAATACAACCAAAACAAACACGCTAGGCCAGCAGGAGAAATGGCTTGAGGCTTTTGGCCAAAGACAAGGAGCAAATGCTCAGCAAACAGCGAAACACACAAAGACGGGATGTCCAGGTGAAAGACAGAGGAAGAATGAAAAGGTGTGCTATGTAGAATTAGGTAGGTAACATTACAGACTCCAGAGTCCCCCTAGTGGTCTAGAAGACTTCCTAATTGTTTTTTGTTTTCAGAGTTTCTCTGTCACATTTGTTTTTTTTGTTTTTGTTGTTGTTTGTGTGTTTTGGAGTTTGCATTGCGACACTTGCACCTCTCTGCCACTAATTCAAATAAAAGAGGAGCTTCATTGTTTTGGGAGAATGATGAGTCAGAGTGGAGCCCCGCAGTTAGAGGACTTTAGAAAATATCTGTAAATACCAAAGATCTACTCTAAACATTTAGAACTGCCTAATCTAACAGTTCACACATCATATATACCTCAATATGGATGAATACACATAGTAAAACCAAGTTAGCGATACAGCTGAAGCTAACATTCTGTCTTCGTTATCTCTCCCCTCTGAGGGGTTCAGCCAATCAGCAGCCAGGAATATAAATTCTGATTTGCATTTGGTTTAGGATAATTTACGAGGATTTTATTGTACAAAACAATCCATGAATTATTTGGAGTTACGCCTCACAGAAAAATGTGTGAACACTAAAAGAAGGCGGGGCTCCACTGACCTCTCAGGATCAACTTCCTGTGTGATATTTTAACTTCTTCGGTCAATTATCGCCACCTGCTGGCCCAGATTCTGGTGTTGCTGTAAGTTTTCATGTGGACAGACGTGTCAGCCTGACATGCAGACGGTGTGGAGGCCTGAGGGCGACCAGGAGCAGGCGGAGTGCCGGGGACGGTGAGCTGGTGGCAGTGACGCCATGATGCTAGCTGGGGAACGCCTCCAGCGGGTCGGGGAACCGTCAGCGTGACGCTTCACCAGCCCGCTGAAGGTCGCCTGGGGGTCAGGGGGTCACAGGTTGACAAGGTGGAGGTCGGAGGCGGAGAAGTGGGGGCACAGAGCCATGTCCGGGTTCTTCAGCTGCCGCAGGATCCGCCGGTGGAACTTGGAGCGGACCCGGTTGAACTCCATGATGTCACTGGGATCCTCCTCAATCCAGAACCGCTGGAACTCCTGCATCAGGTAACCTATTGATCCATAGATAGATAGACAAATAGATAGACAGATAGACAGATAGATAGATAGATAGATAGATAGATAGATAGATAGATAGATAGATAGATAGATAGATAGATAGATAGATAGATAGATAGATAGATAGATGTTTCAAAACTAAATATTTAATTAGCAAGATAAATGTTTAGTTTGAGGCTATTTATTTAGCTTCAAACTAAATATTAGCACAGAGCTAATTGCTTGGTTTAGAGCTACATATTCAGGTCGGTTTCCTAACTAAACATTTAGCTCCATACTTAATATATAGCTAGCAAGCTAGGCATTTCATTTGAGGCTAAAATTTAGCAGCTAAATATTTAATTAGAAAGATAACTAAATATTTAGTTAGCTTTAATAAGCTAAATATTTCTAACTAAATATTTAGCTTGATTTGATTAGCAAGCTTAATATTTAGGTCAAACTAAACATTTATCTAGCCAACTTAACTTGGTGAAAATTTGACTTTGGGAACTGATCCCCCTTGTTTTTCTCTTCTGAAAAACTAAATAACCCAAATTATTTCTGCTAATTTTTTATTGTGTAACTTTACAAAAGTTTTTAATAGACTAATAGTCTAACGCTCTAATGCTAGCTCCTACACCCTTCGTCCCTCAGCTGTAGGAAGTTTTATTTATTACTGAATAGATAATTAACATTATTACGGCAATGATGAGCCAAAATATGCTTTTCTAACAAGATGACAACTTTTTTGATACATTTTTCAGTTTTGCTCTTCAATGTTTTTGTTCCCAGTTGTTAAAATGTGATTGTTCTTGTTGTTGAGTTGTTTTTTGTGTGAGCTCACAGAAGATCTGCTGGAAGTGCTGCAGGCCGGCCATCTCTGGCGCCACGTTGTACAGGTGGGTCTTCAGGGCGCCGCTCACCAGCAGCGAGTAGGCCAGGTCCGTGATGTTGATGCCCACAATGGCGAACGAATATCTGGACGGAAACAAGAGACGGTGAGCTACGATCTCAGGATCAGAACCTAAAGTTTGGACCAGTAAACTTTAAGCAGAACATTCTGTCTGAGCAGAGTCTGCAGCAGAACTCCGGTCCAGTTGAACCTTCAGGTTCCCTGAACCCACCGTCCCTTTAAGAAGCATCCACACCCCATCAGAGCTGAGTACTAGTTACATTTACTCAGTTGCATTTACTTGAGTAACTATTTTGAAAAACTGTACTTTTAGGAGTATTTTTACTATGCTGTACTTTTTATTTTTACTTGAGTAATTTTATTATGAAGTATTTCTACTCTTACTGGAGTAAAATGTCTGGATTTTCTACCCACTGAATGAAAAAAAAAACATGTTTTAACCAAAAACTCACCAGACAAAGACACACCTGCAGTTTTTATTAAAATTTCAAAGTTATTTTACTGAAAGATAATTTTGCCTGATTTTGTTTATTTTTTTGCTCCTTATATGAATTATTGTCATTTTTGTCCTTAAAATTCCAAATTTTACCCTTAATTTTATATTTTGGTCCATCTGATTATGTAGTTTTTAAATACTAAATGATTAATAATTTGATCAGTTATCAGTACTTGAGCAGACTTTTTACCAAATACTTTTTGACTTTTATTTGTCTCATTTCTTGGCTACTTTTTTCTCCTAGTTGAGTATAAATTTTGGGAACTCTGCCACCTTTGCAGACAGTAAACTTTTCATATTTTATCACATTACAACCAAAAACAATGGCATTTATTGTTTTTATTTTTTGTGACAGACCAACATAATGTGAAGGACAAACTTCCAGAAAACTGCAGAGATGCTGAAACACTGAGTTCATTTAACTAAAGGCTAAAACTAACCTGTTTAGAGTTGCTTTTGAACCATAATTAACTGATCATTAATTAAATCCAATATTTGTTCTCAAATCAGTGACTGTATGATGTTGTTGTGACTTTTTATGTTTGTGTTTTTATGATGTAAAGCTCTTTGTTGCTGTAATGTGTTATACAAATAAAATTAGCTGATTGATTAATCAATTAAAACATTTTAAAACCAGTTGAGCTGAACCTGAGGGTAAGACACTAACTGCTCATAACCGCTCCACTGACTCACCCGATTGCTTTGTCAGGGACCTTCTGCTCCCAGTCAGGCTGGTTCAGCTCACTGTGGACGACACGCCGTGAGTCACGGTGGGAAGCAGCACACACACACACACACACACACACACACACACACACACACACACACACACACACACACACACACACACACACACACTGTAAGCTGCTTTACATGAGCTGGTTCAGAGACGTATAGAAACTCTGAGCTGCGGTCGCTTTAACGATGCAATATGAACTAATAAATATAAATACTGTAATAAAGTCTCAGCGGTTCTGATCAAATAAAAGCCGCTGCTGCATCAGCAGACCCAGAATTTATTTTCAACTGAAAAACCAAACACACACAGGAAAAAGTGTGTGTTTGCTTTTTTGTTTTTGCTTTTTTGTCATATTTAAAGGTTTCAAATGATCTAAATATCAAACAAATCTAAATAAAAACAAATATAGTTACTCAGGAAAAATATATATTTTTAGGAGTATTTTACTATCTTGTAATTTTTACTCATAGTTGAGTAAAGTTGTTTGTTCTTCATGCAGGGAATGAAAAACAAACATTTGGTTTTAACCAAAGACACAAACTAAGAGTTTATGTCAGAGAGAGACCTCTTGTTTCTATACCAGCTTTGTTATTTTAATGTTATTTTCTATCTGCTGAAACTTTTGTGGCTTTAGGAGGTCAAATAAAAACACAAACACACCATAAACTTTAACATGTTAGCTAATAAAGATGGTAACAATCAGGTCAGATTATTATTATTCTTTGTCTGATCTCAACATTTATTTGATAATCTGAAACATTTAAATGTGACAAATTGCAAAAACTAAACAAGTCTGTATTTTACAGCTTTCTTTTTTTAAACTTTAGACCTTTAAGTAACAGAGAAACTATTTAAATGCAGTTTATCTACATGAAACATGACCCTGAAGGACAAATCAATGAAAGGTCAATGCAAGTGAATGAAAGTGGAGGTTAGTACCTGGGCTTTCTGTGAGAACTCCTAGATGGACAGAAAGTAAAGGAGTGCGCAGAAATGAAGGTGGAGAGCAAAACAAACAGAAGAATCTTCATTTGAGAAATGAGACGAGTCAGTGAGAAGCAGCAGCAGTCAGAGAACAGTGAGGCAGCGATGGCATGGAGCGAAGCAGGCAGAGAGATGGATGCTAGCAGCGGCTGGTCTGACTTTAACTAGCCAGTAACACAGACTGATCTCAGGTCAGGAAACGTCACGCCAACATACTTGTGCTTTGGCTGCAGTGAGTCCTGGAGCATCTGCAGCGCCGCGGTTCTGTCATGTTCTGCAAAATACCTGCAGAGATCCAGAGCAGGTGGACAGATGCTCAGCAAGGCAAACACTGCAGCTAGCTTCCTCTGCAAAACAACAACGAGTTAGCGTGTTTTCAGATTAACAGCTATAAACTAACAGGAGCCATTTGTAAAAAACACAGGAAAATTAACAGCAATAATTTCTGTCAATTTGCCTTTAATAAGAGAAAAACTGTCAGCGTCTCACTGTTTTCATTCATTTATAAATGTCACAGAAACTAAATATTTCATTAGTAAGCTAATTATTTAGTCTACCAGTTAAAAATTTAGTTCCAACCTTAATATTTAGCTGAAAGCTATTTATTTAATTAGCAAGCTCCAACTAAAATGTTCAACTCAGAGCTAAATATTTAGTTTGAGGATAAATATTTAGTTAGCAAGCTACAATTTAGTTCACAAAGTTTAAAACTAGATATTTAGTTTGAAGCTTAATATCTAGCTAGAAAGCTCTAGCTAGCTAAATATTGAGATAGAAAGCTCAATATTTAGCTTTAACCTCAACATTTAGCTCTGAGCTAGCTAATTTAGCTTGTAAGCTACATATTTATGAAGCTAAGTGTGACATTTATAATTGGATGAATAACACAAACATGACTTTAGTAAGTAAATTCCAGTTTTTGCCTCTAATTAATTTGAATTATTGTTGTTAGTTTGACCCTGTTTCCAGGCGGCGCCCCGAAGTGTGACAGTTTGTTGGTTTTCTGGGTTCTGAGCTTACAGCAGGTTCTGCAGGCCCAACAGGCCCATCCCTCTGAAGTCAGTCTTGGGATCATTGCCTTGGAAACCGATTTCACACCACTGCTTGGAGATGCGCCCGGTGAGAGGCGTGTCGGGACGCAGCTCCTTCCACAGCTACAACACAGAACCAGAAGCTCACAAAGCCATGACATCATCATCTGGGCTTTCCCAAATAGTTTAAAGGTGCAGCGATACTAGTGCATGTAAACATCTGAATATGGAGAAAGCAGCACTGAGCTCCACAAGCTAGGCCTAAACCATCATAAGCATTAGCTATGCTAACGCTGCAGTGCTAATCATAAACATTAGCTATGCTAACGCTACAGCACTACACAGTCTTTATCCACTTCAAAATAAGAGCTTGAATATAAATGTCCAAATACTTGAACTTAACAGTTGATAAGCAAAACCTTACAACAGATGTCTAAATTTATTGAACTAAAGGTTTACAAAACAAACAAGTGAATTAGCGCTGTGGAAAATATTCAAAAAATTAAACTTAGGAGAAGTGCCCTAAACATTTTAAAAGTTGGTAAAAAAAAGCTGAATCACAAAGTAAGTAATTAGCTCCTCTATTAGCAGAACTGTCCCCACCACTGAATTAATAAACCAGTTGAATATTTCCTCTGCTCATTCTGGGTTTTCCCAGCAGACTGCTGTACCTTCATCAGCATGCTCTCATGTTCGGTGTTTTCAGAGTCGTACGGCTCCCTGCGGAGCTTCTCCACCTCGGCCATCAGACTCCGGTAGCCCACGATCTGCAGCAGGCTGGCCTGCAGCGAGACGCTCAGCCTGGAGGCACAGAGACAGCCGGAGTGACCTCTGACCTCAGTTACCAGTACACTCAGGATAAAACGGAGTCGTACTGCGGGTTGGTGTCCGGGTTGATCTTCTTCAGGGCCATGATGTCGTCGATGGTCTTCTCCACCTGGTCAGGATGGACGCTGAGGGCCGACCGCAGCAGCTGCACAGGAAGAGAAGAGGGAGACGTGAAGGAGAATAGGCAGAGAACAGGCGTGTTTATTTATCCGACATGGCGGGACTGCAGACTGGTACCTCATACTTGGAGTACCGCAGGGACGACTCTGAAAGGAGAACGTTGAACAGCGTTAGTAAAAATGATGAGAATACCAAATAACTGTAATTATTATCATATTAATGCAGCGCTGCAGGTCAGACAGGGATCAGGATTTTAAAACTGAATTTTCCAAACAGTAAAGATGGAAACAGAGATTCAGTTTTTACACAACATTCAGCAGCTTTTTTTTTTTTTACTTTTTTAAAAATAAAATCTTGATTTAAAAACATCTTCTTGTTTTTACTCCTGTCAGTTTTATGTTTTTTTAAAGGTTTTGTTGGCTCTAGTTGGCCTCAGGCCTTTATTTGAAAGTAGTTTGAGAGGAAAGAGGGTTGTGAGAGAGGGGGAAGACATGCAGCAAATGTCACCAGGCTGGAAATTGAACCTGTGATCACCAGCATGAGGACTAAGGTCTCAATACATGGGTTGTGCTTTGCCCCTGCACCATCACAGCACCCCTGTCAGTTTTATGTTTTATGTGTTTTTAGGCTCATTGCCATTTTATACCAAATCCAGTAACTATGTTACCTTCAGTGTTTATAAAAATGGTACATATATCTAATGTGATCTAAAACTTATTTCACTTCCAGATTTAACTCCTTGAAATTAAGAAACTCCTGTTCTTTCTGAAGCACCGCCTCCAGGAAGTCATCCCAATATGGCTCCTATTAACCCTTTAGCGTTTTTACCAGCGCTGCTCTTAGCAGCAGCTGAAAGGTAGACTTTAGCAAACTGCAGATGTTTGCTAATTGCTGCTGGCTAGTCTAGAGGAACTGAGCGGGGGAGGAGATGTGCCTGGAGGGCGGGGCTAGGTCCACCCAGGCCATTCAGCTCCATGGCAGCTGAATGGTTGCCATGGAGACTAAAGGATTTCTCAAACATGAAAGAATCAAAGCAATAATGCAGGTTTGATTTTGATGAGAGAATAATATATAATATGAAGGAAAAATTTAGAAAGTTAATTTTACATGATACTGTTACTTTAAAGTTTGAACTGAAGACAGAGAAATGTGGTGAATACTTTCTGACCTCTGACCTCTGCAGCTGCTGTTCCAGGTTATTAATGGATTCATTTCTGAACCTACAGTAATGAAGTCGGAACAAGTTCTAAACTTGAGGGAATCTTTCACTGCAGAGATTTGTTTCCTTTTCTTATGTAAAGTTAAGCGTGGCGCAGCATGCAAATATGGCGGTGCGCCGGGGCAGCATGCAGGGGCAGCATGCAGGCGCAGCATGCAGGGGCAGCATGCAGGGGCAGCATGCAGGGGCAGCATGCAGGGGCAGCAGCGTGCAGGTGGCGGCGGCCCACCTATCTTCAGAGTCCTGCGTGCTCCCGGCTTGTTGCTGTAGCAGATCCTCTGCAGCTCGCAGCGGCCTGTAAACTTCCTGGTGACGAACTTCAGGCCTCGCCACAGACATTTACAGTAGAGGAAGACGAAGAACTGGGTCACCACTCTGCAGAGGAGGAACAAAAAAGAAACACAAAACACACCCAGAGGGTGAAATCTGATTTTACAGATTTCATCATTATTTCTAATTTTAAAAGGTGAAAATTAGAATTCATTTGGTACATAATAACATTAAGATTGTTCATTATCTTAGTTTTTTTTTTTCTTTTTTTTTTTTGTTACAAACAGATGAAGATTCAATGCTGGGGGAGGGGGTTCAGTCTGAAGATGTTTTCACTTCTGACCAAAAGCTTCTGAACTGATTTGAGTTCAGATTTTCTACAAACTCTGGAAATCTTTTCATTTTTAAAGTTTGTGGATTGAAACATTTTTCTGTGGTAAATCTGGACGATACAGATTCTAGATTTTTACTGATCCAAGTTTGTCCAGATACGTAAAAAGTCCTTTACTTTACTGCTTGCTGTGTGGCAAAAATATGATAAATATGAGTTTTTATAAGTTTAAATTCTAATAAACATTAGAACTGGAGGACATTTCAAATATTCAAAATAAATAAACAAAACAACAGAACAACAAATAAGATGAATTATAAAGTCTTCAAAAAAGTTCTAGTTCAGACCAAAACACCAGACTGAAAACTTTGATCATCCAATATTTAGTAGAACGAGAAAAATGATAAATCATGCAAATGTTAGTTTTAATCTATCATGTGATTAATTGATTTATTGATTAAAACTATAACTGTTTTGGATTCAGATCGCTGGCTCTGTTGAAAGTTTTTAAAACAAGATAAAGAAGACCAACTGAAATGAATTCATTTCTGTTTGTAATGAGATCAGAGTTAATCTGACAGGGAATCAGAGAAGAGGGCGGACCGCCATGCAGCAGCAGGTTATTTCTGACAGCAGAGCCTGAGTCGGCCTGCAGGGAGCAAACCTCCAGCAGCCTGAGAAGAATCACATCTGCATGTTAAAAACGCAGACCGTCTTCACGTCCAGATCAGCCTGAGCCAAACGGCAAAGCAGGACTAAAGCTGCTGCAGGAGCAGAGCTGCGTGCTAAACGGCCCAGACTGACTCAGTCGCTTCCTCTTCGCCTCCAGGGGAAAACAAACGGCAACAAGAAGGAAAACGGGATTCTGACTCCAACCAGTTTCACATCCTGGTGCTCCATTCTAAACTCTGAGCAGATAAACGGCATCAAAACGAGTAGCAAACCTGAACAATGGTCTGCAGTCATTAACTCACTGAAATGATATCTCTTCTTACGACAAGAGTTCAGATTCAGCAAAAAGAAAAAAAAAACACGCAGCTGTTTCAGCAGCACCTGCACAAAAACACGACGTTTGTGCTTGCAGTTCGAACTGAAGCATTGATAGGAGTTAAAGACAAAGAAATAAACAGCAACACCATAATGTTAGCATTGCAGAACCATAAATAAATAAAGTTAATAATTACTATTTTAACAAATAATTAGCACAGCTAGCTGCAACAGGAGGTTAGAAAAGTATCGGTTTCTACTTTCCAGGTCACATATTTAAATATTCTGGGATATTTAATAATGTTTTTATTGTAATAATGACAGTAGAAATAAAAATAACAGCTGAAATGTAATCCTCACTTGTTCTTGTTTATGTTGGCATTGCAGCGCAGCTAGCTTTAATAGCAAGCTAAAAGAGTTTTATTCCTTTCAGGAGTTATCACTTTCGAACTGGTTATTTTATCTCCATAAATGAAGAACAGAAACTAAAATAAGAAATGAAGCCTCTTCTGTTTATGCCTAGCTAGTTAGCTTTAGCTCCGCAGCTGCCACAGAAAATCAGATTAAAGCAGCAAGAGTTCAGATTATAGAAAACAAATACTGAATGCTAAATTATTGCATTATACTGAAATAATACAACATGGCTAAAATAGTAAAGTTCCAGCATTTTAAAGGTTTCTTTTAGAGTGATAACTGTATTCTAAATTAGAATAAAAAAATATGACCAGAAATATATTTTGAAATTATTTTAAGCTTCTGGTTAAAAACTAAAAGCCTCTACATTATGTCATGTCATGTTATCTGTTTAATTTCTTTTAAGTCTCTAGCAGTGTAAACATGTCCTTTAAAATCGGCTGGATTTTATTATTTACATCCAGCAGCTCAGCAGACAGTTTTGCCAGCCATCATTACCCATTAATCTGATTCTGGTGTTTATCATCCAAAGGTTGAACAGTCACAGACCCTGAAATGGAGTCATGATAATCTGGATATTACCAGTTTAATAAATTACAGACAGATTAAAAAAGCGTGATTTTTCCAGGATTAAAATCCTCTGAAATAAGAAGCTGTCCAACATGCTGGGCTCTAAGCAGAGCGGCTCTTTCTGTGCCTGCAGATAAACTCCGTTCATGAATTAATCAGATGTTTTATTGGCTCGGTTCGCCCATAAGCCACGCAGGTAAAAACCCATTCGGTTCAGTTCGCTTCCGTCTGCTTTTCAAGCCTCCATCTTGATTCTTACCGGAGGAAGTGCTTCATCTTGGCGGCTCCTGCTGGTTCGGTTCGGTTCGGTTCGGTCCTGGACCTGAGGACAGAACAGATTCTCTGTTATTCAGGCCCGGATATCCGGAGCTGTCCGCGGTGCTGACGGGCCGCCGCGCCGAGCCTGATCCCCTGCAGGATCGGTTCGGTCCGGTTCGGTAGCAGGTCCAGAAGTGAAATGTTTTCTTACCTGTTCTGATGACACGAGGGGATGCAGCGGAGGGATTCTGCGTTTGTTGCCCAGCTACAGCTTCAGCTGTGCCTCCATGACGGCCACCGACGGTATGGCAAGCCGTCACCGCATTTAGTCTGACACCCTGTAGCCAATACGTCATCGATCGCTAAGTTCCGTTTTTTTGAACGCATGGATGATTTATGAGGAAAAACAACTCAGTGTGAGTTTAACTAAACAACAGGCGTCCCAAAAGTATTCATACACCGTTCATACGTTTCTTCTTCTTTACTGATATTCTGAAAAGTGTGGCATGCATTTGTAGCCACCGTTCTCTGCAGGTAGGTTGGAGAACATATGAAAGTCTCAGTCTGGATTTTGACTAGGCCTTTCTAAGCCATGAATTCTTCCACAGTGTGAGGATGCCACCTAAAATAACTGAAAAAATAAAAATAAAATAAATAAATAAAACTTTTAACTGAGTTTGAACCCCTCTGGTAAAACCTGAAAAGCAGGCTGAGCCCAAAATTATTCATACCCCTGGAAGATTAAGATTTAAAATATCAAACCTGACCAACAGGTTTCTTCTTACCTGAAATTATATTAACATTCTGGATAAACATAGCTGTAGATTATGATATAACATTTCTATTTAAACTAATTAAAGTTCTATGAGGCCTTAATAAGTGCAGCTAAAAAACTAATTTTTCATTGTTGATTTTTGGTTCACTGCTGGCTGTTTGATTCGCTCCTGGATGTCAATTGAACGCAAAATATAAAAATTATTTCAGAACTGAACTGATGTTATGATTCCAGATGTCGTCTTGTTATGACGGTCTCTGATAAATGCTAAAATGACTTGCCATAGCGCTGAAAGCTGCAGCGCATGCAGACACTGCAGCGGACAGACATGCATCATCCCGGCGCTGCATGGTTTGTTTCTGCAGCTCAGGACGAATCCAGAAAACACGTCGATCATCAGAATCCCGCTGGATTCTGGGAAATGTAATTTAAAAAAAAAAAAATCCGGCCTGGCATTAGGATGTACGGGTTTGCTTCTAATCCGTTATTTTCTCACCACTTGGTGGCGCTGTACCAACGTCTTTGTCCTCATAATAAACATTTTCCTCAGATTCTAAACTTTTCCTCTGAGAGGAATCTTTATTGTTATTTATTAAAGTTAGTCACATACAACCCAGAGATGTGCTGATTTATGGATTTATTATCCGAGTAAAGAAACTAAAATGTTTTGAAGCCTGAATTTATCAAACTCACCACTAGATGGCACCAAATCCATCAGTTTGAACAGGAGACAGACTGCAGATTTCATTAAAAAATCTATTTATTAATGAAACAGTAAACTGTGTCAGCATGGTAACATGTTCCTCTGATGGCATAAACTCATTTACAGCATCTTTATCTTTGGTGAATTAATAACAAAACATAACACAAGGCAAATAATTTGGTATTTAGACAACATACTCTTTTACATCCAGTCCCAGATATTTACTGTAAATTAATTTAATAACCTCCTCAGGTGGCAAAGCTTCATTCTATGGAGGCACAGATGAAACAAAATGACACTTAGTGGAAAAAGTTTCAGCTCTGATTCACAAAGCAAAACGATAAAAAGCTGTAGAAGGTAAACATTCACGTGTTTCTTCATGTAAAGTGCAGCTCAGAGTTATAAATAATATACAGACTGGCTGAAGTCCAACTGGAAAGCTTTAGCGATGCACAATACATCGGCATCGGACGATGTTCACCATTCAGGAAAATATCAGAATCGTATATTTACATATACATATGAAGAAAAGGAACGTCCAAAATGTCAATGTCAACATCATCAGTATCGGCTGATCGGCCATTTTGTAACGCATCGTACCGGTTGGATGAGTGAAACTGGGCCGATAAACAGCTGATGTTTATTTCTGTGCTGTTTGTGTCACAGGAAGGGGTGGGACTTGGTCATGTGACTCATCGTGATGTAGCAAAGCATTCTGGGATGTTAAACTTAAGCAGGATGGCCTTTATTCATGAGGTCAAAAAAGACAATAAATATATCAGACATCAGTTATTGGCAACATAACAGTAGTTTTAATATCAGATATTGATATTGGCACAAATCTGGATATCGCTGCATCTCTAAAATAAAATAAAGTTGAATATAATATTATTAGTATTATTAATGTTACCGTTCATCAGACACTGAAATCAGTCCAGTTGTATCAGTTTATCGGTATGAACGGATGAAACCATTCAGATGGTTTCACCGTTTCATATGTTTACAGTTTTGCTTAATTTTTGGTCACATTTCACTTTTTGGAGGTAAAAGTATCCGAGTCCTTCGGAATGTTTAGTAACAACCTGAAATCAGTTTTCACCAAATTTAAGGCAAAAAATTTAAAGTTATTTTAAAATAATTTACCCAGTCTACTGTAAGAAAAGTGATGATGTAGAAATAGTCCAGAGAAATACAAACGTTTACCTTTCTGCACCCTTTAGGTCAAGAGGAATAGTTAAAGAATAATTATTTTATTTTGTTTGGTTAATGCTCAGAATCTGATTTTTGTTTTATGCATGGAGATCAGAACCAGCAGACTGGAGAATTTTAAAAACAATTTATCTCTGAGACTCAGTCAAATGTGGAACTACAAAAATAAAGATTGATGAATGTGTAACAGCTTCAGCTCACTGGTTCTGAAATGGTTTGTTTACTGGAGGCAGGAAGGGAAGACTGGGCCACATGCTGGTGCAGTGAGGAGTGCAGAGACCGATGGTCCAACCTGCTAAACTTATCAGGAATATTTAATATTCTCTAACAGGAACAGTCACATAATTCAGAGGTTCAGAAACAGGAAAAGCTAAAAGGTCTGTGACCCGGACTGTAAACGGTCTGCCTGGATTTGGAGCAGAAAACGATCCGGTGTAACTCGTAACAGTAACTGGCCTCGGTTACAGAACCTGGTTCCATCAGAGAGTTGTGAACATCACGACCGATCTGGTTCTCTGAGTGTCTCCGCCTGCAGCCAGCAGCCGGTCGGCGGCCGGATCAGAGACGGCGTCGGCTACCTGCGGGTCGGCGCCGTCCGGAACGGCGGAGAGCGTCGGCACGGCGTTGAACATGATGAAACCCACGGTGATGATGATGAACGAGACGATGTACAGCACAGAAAACTGAGCAGAAAACAACATGGAGACGACAGAAGGCCGATTTAGTAACAGCACTGACGACCAGCGAATGCACTAAACATGCAATACCAGCGATGGCCACTAGGTGGTCAGAGTCCTGATGGCAGTCAGCCTCACCTTGTAGCTGAAGAGGAAAAGGCCGCAGAAGAGGCTGAACAGGTCGGCGGTGAGCAGCGACAGGTTGACGGCCGTGGCGCTGGTCAGCCTCACCACCACCGGCATGAAGCTGTACAGAGCGTACATGCACAGGGCGTAGACCGCAAACAGTATGACTGCAGCACAACAACGCATGACTGTTACTTAGCAACCAGAGACAGGAAGCACCATCACAGGTTCACATAAAGCTGCTGACTTACAGATGTAAAGATCCCATTTTATTGCTTTAACAGCATTGATTTCTAGTGCAGCCCTGAAATCACAAAGCAGACGAATAAACTCAAAGCTGTAGAAACAGAAGCTCCAACATGAAGGCTAACGGCTCCATCATGGAGGCTAACGGCTCCGACATGGAGACTAACGGCTCCGACATGGAGGCTAACGGCTCCGACATGGAGGAGCTCTTAAACAGTGACTTACAGCTGCGCGCCGCTGATCAGAGTCCCAAACAGTCCCATCATTCCCAGGAACTCGACCCGGCTCAGGTTCTTCACCGTGTGCTCCTGGCACAGGTTGGACACAGCATAGAGGACGGAGCTGAGCAGAACCAAGCCGTCACCCAGAACCACATCATTGGCTGCATGGAGGGAAAACTGGCAGTCAGAAACACTGGAGATAATAAAAACCTTTAATCCAGCAGAAAACACAGAAGATGTAATTAAATTAGTGAACCTAAAAGCAAAATGAGACATGCACAACAACTGCATGCCTCCCAGAAACTATTCTGATACATCAGAGTAAAGATAGAGGACCACAGCAGTAGCTGGAACTGGAGCAGACATTACGTTTATCTGAATGCTGATAGAATCTTTGACCAAAGTGCGTTTTTAAATCCCTGGGTAGAGTGCCGGTCTGTTAGGTTTCCATGTTACTGCTCTCATCTGTTCTGAGTTTCTCACCAAATATCCTTCATGATCTCACAGCAGAGCTGCAGATTGACCACTTCACTGAGTGGACACCGTTAGCTAACCAGAGTTAGCATCATGGCTCTTCAGCAGTGAAACACCAGACTGAAAGCGTCCTTACTGGATCCCTGGTCCCTCCCGGCTACGATGTCAGCCCCCACCATGGCCCCCACCCCTAGCAGGCACACCATCACGGCTACGAAGTGCAGCGGCCTGTAACGCGTCTTCAGGAAGATCCACGAGAGAACCATCAGCACCGGGATCACGAAGCAGTCCAGCAGCTGGAACCGCAACACAGGAAACACCATTCACAGATAAAAATGAAACATTTTTCCGTTAAAATGATTTCTGGTTCATTTGAAATGTGAATCATTTCACTTTTCTGCAGTACTTGAAAAGAAACTCCTCAGATAACGACAGTTTGCTGCAGCTGCCTGCGTTTCCTCCGTACCTGAATGCTGGTCAGGGTGGTGAACTGGTACGCCTTCACCACCATGTAGTTTGCCTCCACATCGGCCAGACCCATCACCAGATACTTCCACCACTTGGTTCTCAGGATCTTCAGTATGTTGGCGTCACCTGCAGGAACATGTTGGCAGACAGATGCCATTTTCTCCCAGGCTTACAGAAAAACACAACTTTCCACAGAGCAGATGCACTATTCAGTAAAAATAAAATAAAAATTGTTCAGCTGGTAAGTAAATCACTACAGTTCTGTTTTCTTCCATTAAACGGCAAGTTTAAATGCACCAGTTTTAAAAAAAAAAATCAAAGTGAGGAAGTCGCTATGGATGTTCAGATTCTCAGGGAGTCGTTCTGACCTCTGTGGATGCAGAGGGTCGGGGTGTAGGTGAGCAGCAGCAGGGCGTAGTTCAGGAAGCTCTGCAGCATGGGCGTCTCCACCCCGGCATCGGCCAGGTACTGGCAGCTGCCCGCCGTCCCACAGATCAGTAGGGACAGGACCTGTCCCATGGCGATGGTCTTCAGCAGCCGGCTGCAGGGAGAGAGACAGAAAGAGGGTGGGAGAGAGAGAGAGAGTTACAGTTTTGATGTTTATTTTGTGATATTAGATTAGCTACTGCTGCAGTTAGCTAATCTAAATTAGCTAATCTGACACAGCGGTGGTTGATTAGCTAATTTAAACACCTGCTCTCCTGATGATCTGTCAGAGTTGGTGTTTGGGTCGCCTTTTACTTTAACTGAACCAAAACACACCTAATTCCACAGCATGTCTACATGTTAAGTTGTCAAAGTCAAGCTAGCGCAACTGAGTTACTTTCCTCTCCCTCGCCATTTTTTGCTAATTAAAACTTTTTCCTGTCCTCTGAAAACTATTCACATCCTTTAACTTTTCCTTCATGGTGCCATTACAAAACCAAACATCCAAATATTTCATTAGGATTTTATGTGACAAACCAACACTAAGTGGTGTGTGTTTGTGAGGAGGAAACATTAATTTTCAAGTCTTTCCTTAGTTAGAGTTAGATCTGTCATTAACATGTACACTTGCTGTGGCCATTAGGGCTGGAAAGTCCTTTCAGTTTGCCAAATATGTTACTTTCATGCAGAGCACAACGCAAAATCTGAACAAAAGTTAAAGGACCAGCAGTACGATAAATCTGACAAAACAGTCAAAGAAGAAATATTTTACACACAGTAACTAAAAACTGTAGATAAGGCCAAGAGAGTGCTGCTCACCATGAGAAAATGTCCTTCAGCCTGTCTCTGTCCAATCTGCAGCCGTTTCTCCATTTGCCACACAGGCTGTCCTCTGTGGGCCCCTCCATCGCTATGACAGCTCAGCCTGGCCCCACGGGATTAAACAGAGTTAATGTCATTTTAAGTCATCTTCATCTGACAGGCCGAGCAGAAAATCAGACAAATGTCCAAAAACCCTGGTTCCTCCTCACAGAGGAAAAGAAAAATTCAAATTATTTTTTCCATAATGGAAAAATATAAATGTAATCCTGCAGAAAATGAAGAGACCAAAGCAATCAATCTGAATCATTTGACTCAACTGGAAAACTTGAAAACACTTACTTTAAATGATAAGTTTACACTTTCGCTCCAAAAGAAATAAGCCGATTGTTACAGGAACCCTGACTGAGTCTTACAGTTTGTATTATTCCAGTTGACCAGCTTTTACTATCTGCCAAGAACAGCAGAAATGCTAAAACTGTTACTATTTATGTGGAATTTGTTCTAGCCACTCTACACACGAGCCAGGCGGCGTTGATCATCGCTTCTCTATGTTTTTAAACAACTCTTGGCTAAAATGCAAAAAAATGAACGTGAACAAACCTTCTTCTCCTCTGTCATCTCATTTCATTGTTTAGATATTTTCCAGACGAAAATATTGATCGTATTTCTGCTGTATCTTCACACACACCTAGCAGTACCGACTCACTCTAACCTCGTGTCATTAAAACCCGCCTCCTGCGCTCTGATTGGTTGAACAGGAGCTGACGGACGCGTACATCATTCAGCAATTTGGAGAGGCCAGACTCATGTTTTTGGATTGTGGGAGGAAACCGGAGTACCCGGAGAAACCCCGAGCATGCACAGGGAGAACATGCAAACTCCATGCAGAAAGACCGG